TCCTTCAATAATAAACCACTAACCCTTTCATCCCTATGTAACTTTAGTAGACTCTACCATGCATTGATATATATGGATGTGTCCATTATGGTCTACTGTGATGAAAGGGCTAAAGGACATGTATAGCAGCTTCAAACACCTTTAGTCTGTATAGGGTCTAGACCTCGGGGAAGCACAAAACAAATACAATTCTGTCTTATGAAATCTTAACCCTTTCACCCCTATGCAACTTAAGTAGACTCTACCATGCATTAATATGGAGGAGTCTATTATGGTCTACAGTGGTGAAAGGGGTTAACAAAAAGCTGTCTTCTGTGGACTCAATTTGATGAAAATTTGTCTATTGTGAACAGTTTGATAAAAACCAGTGTCTATGTTTTGTGAACAATTTTATGAAAGTTATTTAGTGAACCAGCTTTTTAGCCCATCATCGGTATTTCTCAAGAAGTGCCGGAGGGATCTTTCTTAAATTTTATATGCAGGTTCCCCTTGGTCCTTAGCTGTGCAGGGCAACTTTTGAGACTGATCGGATAAACAACAGGGCCGACAGGCAGCCATCTTGGATTTTGATAGTGAAAGTTTGTTATCGCTATTTCTCAAGAAGTACCAGAGGGATCTTTCTTAAATTTTATATGCAGGTTCCCCTCGGTCCTTAGCTGTGCAGGGCAACTTTTGAGACTGATCGGATAAACAACATGGCCGACAGGCAGCCATCTTTGATTTTGATATTGAAAGTTTGTTATCGCTATTTCTCAAGAAGTACCAGAGGGATCTTTCTTAAATTTTATATGCAGGTTCCCCTCGGTCCTTAGCTGTGCAGGGCAACTTTTGAGACTGATCGGATAAACAACAGGGCCGACAGGCAGCCATCTTGGATTTTGATAGTGAAAGTTTGTTATCGCTATTTCTCAAGAAGTACCAGAGGGATCTTTCTCAAATTTTAAATGTAGGTTCCCCTTGATCCCTCGTTGTGTATGTTATATTTTGAGACTGATCATAAAAACAAAATGGATTAAAAGAAGAACTAAACAGATCTTTCTCATATTGCAATGATCGATTTTATTGCTTTCACATTAAGCACTGTACTAGTAAATATGTGAAATGACAAACTCACTTTGAAGGTTGGCTTTCATACACATCAGTATTAAGTTTAGATCAAAAGTTACCTCAACGTGCAATTACTGTTAACATGACCCGATCAAACAGATTAGAGGAAAGAGGAGAAAATATCGAACTGACAAAGATCTAATGAAGATGGTACAAAGGTGGGCGCCAAGATCCCTCTGGGATCTGTTGTTTTTTTAAGTATATGATGGAAAATTACTGAAATCATTTTTTGTTAATTGACAATTGATAGAAGCCTACAACAGTGTTCGGAGTATAAAAACCAGCGGGACAAAACTGAGATTCAAACCCCAGACTTCAGCTTGTTATGATAAATGCTAATTACTATTCCTCTAACTATTCCTTATATCTGTACATTTTGAATTAACTCACCAACAATCCTAAGCTTCAATAAGCCGGGCCCGGCCGGGGATTCACAGGAAACCCTGACTATATGTACATAGAACAGATATATATGTGTGTGTGAATTCTAGAGAATCACAGTTGTCACAGCTGATTATCCTAGAGAAGTTTGAGGACATGTCAGTTAATGAACATGTAAACCAATTATCGAGAATTTCCTGTAACGCAGTAGTTGTTTATATCCTCGATTTGCAGCACACGTTGTTTATAACAGTTTTTTTGTTGATTGACGTTCCATGCCACCCATGTCGTCAAACATCTTCAGAAAGTTGATCAGGTAATTGATAATCAAAAGTTTGTTATAGTAACACAAACAAAAGCGTGTCAGATTCTATAAAGTATCGTTATGAAGAGTTTAATATGATACAGTGTCTGTACAATCAATATATGATAAATAATCTCAATCGATCTTTATAATAAGATCTGATGTACATTTCACATGTATACATAATGAGCAAAAAATCTATATTCTAGAACAAAAATGCTGTTTTACATATAAACATAGATGTGCGACAATCTTTGATGGCTATTAATGATCTTGCAAAGATTAATTAAAATTATTCATGTACCAGGTGAGTTTAATGAAATGCTAATTTAAGAATTTTTTTCTTAAACAGTTTTGGCAATTTTCTCACCAGAGCTCGAAAAATGAAGCCATCCTTATCCAGCTCTGAATTTCAATTCTGGCATTAAAAAATAATGTAGTTATTAATTGTGCATCTTATTTATATAAGTGACTGATCATGAATCATCAGCTGATATTCTGTGGAAACATTGTTTTCATTCAGTTACTTGTCTCAACTAATTATACAGCACCCGAGTACTCGTCTGCATGGTGGTGAAAACTCCCCCGTTATACCGCCACCTTATTTTGTTCCGTGCCAATTTTGGTGGTATAATGGGGTTGTCAATAAAACAAGGTTCCATGCGATCAGTATACGTAGGAAAGCCACATGTAGGACATATCTGCCTAAAGTGTACATCTATTTGTAACAAACACTTCATAAACATGTACATATATATTTAATTTGTAATGAATGCAAACACGTTATATATATCATTTACAGCTTTTAAACATTATAAGTTAATAGAAAAAATATAATTTAACTTGTACAATTCACCGACGTGTAACACAATCTGTACGGACATGTATGGTCATCACATGTTTTGTCCAGGGGCGTCTACTACCTGGGTGGACTGGTTTGTGGGAACCATTTTATCTGTCAGTGTATTCAAACATTTAATGTCATGTTCCATTTTGTTGTGTATTGATTTGAAAAATTATCAAGTCTTAATTGACCGCCATGATAGAAACTTTGTTTCTCTTCCGATATATAGGTCACTTTTTATATATAATGGGTGTTATGACCAAGAATAGTATGGAGGCACATGTAGTAATTCCATATTTGGTAATGCAGGCCATATAAAGTAACGGGAATGGAGAAAACATCTCGCGTGATCTGTCATGGCTGTAGTTGTTTGAATTCAGTAAAGTTTAGTTATTTCAATCATCATGCACTATTTGCTAACATTATACTGACATGTTAGGCATAAGTTATAAGTAATCTTATAGATTGAACACTTCTTATTTCAATCCATTCGCCGGTATCCGACTGAATCATTAATGATCATATAATTGACCAATTATCAGACCAAAACGTAAACAATGACAATATTGTCGGGGGATAAAACAGTTTTGTAATTGAAAATGGTTAGTGATGGCGATACAAAATTTTACTATTTTATTCAAATTAACATTTTAAGTAGGTCTTCTATCTTTACTTTTTCTTTGTTTTGTTGATTTTTGTTTTTAATTTCATCAATATATATACAACAATATTTATTTACATGTTCATTATGATTTATCAAATGACACAGATCTTCTGGACACAAATGTATTGATTAATTATACATTTTAAAAAATGCATCATAGTGACATTTTAAGCAACAGTTTTGTTCTTGACGCATGATATGCAAATGTTTGGAATGGAAAATAATTTTGTATGATTTAAAAAAATACATTTTAGTAACATTTTAAACAATACGTTTTGTTTTTGATGAAATAAAAAATATTTGAATGTAAAATAATTTTGTATGATGCAAAAAAAAATGTTAGAAGAAAAAAAACAACTCATTCACCCCTTAAACTTCATAATGAACTATTCCAACCATTGATTAGGAAGAGTTCAAATGTGTCTTCAGGGGTGAATGAGTTAAGCATGGAAAAAGTTAATTATTCAATTATTTTATAGATGATACCTATACATTGTGTATGTGCATATATTGATATATTATGTTGGAATATGCATATACATAATGATAGTGGGAAATATTAATGAACACAGGGTCATACTTTGTAAAAAAGAAGTAATTTGCAACAAGCAATTTTCATGTCAATACTTAAGCTTTTCCTTCCACAAAAAAAATTATGTAAATTTATATACAGAATTGATCATCATCCTTTAAGGATTCCAGTACCACTACCAAAACCTGAAGATATGGATTGAAAACTTTTTTTCTGGCAATTGAATAAAGCTTTGATAAATCATTTCTGAAAAGAAACAATAGCTTGCTCAGCTTCTACTAAAAAATAATAAAGAAGAAATAAGCAAAACAGAACCTACACAAATGTTCTGAGAGTAAAATGCAGCTGGATTTAAAAAATGAAAACAAAGCAAAATTTGTCACAGACAGTTTCCTGACAGTATGTATTCAAAATTCCATAAAAGTTCAATCCTGTACAGATTTTTTTTTTTAAATATGTAAATTTCAGATGGTTCAAGAAAGCTTCTTTTCCACCTGTGTAAGCATCATCATTCATCGGACACAGAGTAAAATGTTTGTTCAGGTGAAATACAATCGGAAGAATTCCGATGAAAAAGAAACAAAACATAATGGGTAAAATCAAAAAAGGAAAACACTTCAAGATGAAACGTTTTTCATATGGTAATTTTTTACATAAAATATTTGTGAATACAATAGTACATGTATGTCTTTGATTATCTTGCTAGGGATAGGGACCTTACAACGACCTGTGTCTGTATTGATCCAGGTGGTCACTGGTCATTATGGAACACAGTTTTTCTTAGGCCAACATGCTATAGATCTGTGTGATATATATAAAGGCTTTTAATTCTAGGGGAATTTACCCCCAATCTCAACAAAGTTTTATATTAGTGTGGGGATGCAGCTTCTCTAGGGGTGTTCACAAAGCAGGGTCTAGTCGCTTCTCTGGAGACATTTTCAGAGTCTAGTTGCTTCTCTCAATACCCCCGAAGTCTAGATTATTAAAAAATATTTGCATAAATGCAAGTTTAATACAGATATATGATAGTAAAATTGTTGGAGTGAGTAGCCCCTGATGTGCCAAATGTATAACTGTGTGTAAATATGTGGTTAACAGGTGTAATAAACAGGTTAACTGTTTCTTGTATGTCAGTTGTATATATTGTATATCAACTTACCTGTTTCAGACGGAAGGCTGGAGAGACATCCCCGGTCAATGTTGCCTCCAGCCAGGAGTCCTCAACAGGTTCTGAGCCATACATAAACAACGACATGAACTGCGATTCTCCCGGGTAAATATTGAATATGTGATCTGTGTCTGAACATGAACAATGCATCATCGGTTTAATGTGATAAAGTAAAGGTACAGCTTCTTGAATTATAGAATTATAATCACGAAAAACTTTCACTGAGGCATTTTTTTAAGCTCACCTGGCCCGAAGGGTCACAGGGGTCAAATATGTTAAAAACATATAAACAACTTCTAAATAAACAATAGGCCTAGGGTGATAATATTTGGCCAGTAACATGCTGGGATGAAGGGCTACCAAGTTTGTTCAAATAAATGACCTTGACTTATATTCAAGGTCACAGAGGGCAAATATGTTTTAAACATTTAAACAACTTCTTCTGAATAACCAATAGACCTAGGGTGATGATATTTGGCTAGTAGTATGCTGGGATGAAGGGCCATAAAGTTTGTTCAAATGAATGGCCTTCATCTTTTTTCAAGGTCACAGGGTCAAATATGTTCTAAACCTTTAAACAACTTCTTCTGAATAACCAAGAGGCCTAGGATAATGCCAGTAACATGCTTGGATGAAGGACTACCAAGTGAGGAGTACTATTTGTCCCTTCTACATTCAAGATGAAGTGATTGATTTCTATATATCAAAGAGATGAGGACAAATAACTGCACCTTGCCTTATTCCCAGACTAGAAAAGCTCAGGATATTAATCCATCCAATGAAATTGTTGTATACTGGAAAGTTTCCATGGCATGATTGACCTATGGAAATTGGCTTATTCCGTCTTTGCGTATTGCAGAGTTATCTGCACTTGTGAGCAGGTATTGATTGTTACGTCATTTGTTTGTGAGAGTAACGTCATCAATTTTTGAGAAAATGACGCAATTTTCTCACACAAACCAATGACGTAACAATCAATCCCTGCTCCCAGGAGAAGATAACTCTGCAATACGCAAAGACGAAATAGTAATACATAAACCCCCTTGAACTATTTTAGGCTGTTACATTGCATAACATAGCTAATCCTGACCCACTAGCCATTTTAAAACAAACTGAAGGCCTATTTCTCAGAGACATTTTCTGTTCTGTCTGCTCTTAATTCTCCATACCAGCATATCATATTAAAAGTAACTCTCAACAATAACACTTCATCTAAAACATGTCCTTAAACCGGGGGATATGAATTCCAAGAATTTCATAGACTATTTATTACCAGCCAATTCCTGAATGGCTACATTCCACCCATGATTCATGTCCTTGCGCTATTTTCATATTTTTCAGGAGAAATATTAGTACGGTTTACAGAAGAGCCATTTCTCCTCTATTCAAGGATGTCGACAACAAATCCGCACCGACCTGTCCGTCCGACGGGTATCTTGACAATGCCGTCACACCGGACCAAAATAAAACATCGAATTCACTCGATCATAATGTGTCATCGGATTCCGCCTCAAAGAGTACGGAGTCAAAAAAATCTCTTTCTCATGTTGAGACACCATCAGAAAATATTTTTGGTGACAAGACGCCATCTTCCAAGGTCACTCCAAAGGTCACAGTGTCGTCTGCAAGCTCACCCAACATGTGCAATGATAAGTTGTCTGTTGCGAAATCTGATATTGATAGGTCATCATCGTTCAAAGGTTTAGAAAGGGCTTCCGATTCGGGTAGTCGGAGCAGTGCGGAATTTACACGGGCTCATTCACGGGAAAGGTCGTTTGAGAAGTCGCTAGATAATATAATGGACAGATGTTCAGAAAAGTCCTTAGATCTGAATCTTAGCGTGGAATGTAAAAATGGGACACACAGTGATAAAACGTCTGTGGATGATTCTAATGTCAGTAAAAAGAGTGACAAGAAGAAGAAGACTGCTCCGTGGTATACGGTAAGGATATGTCATGCCTTTTGTTATATAGTAAACCCTCGTTATACTGCCAACATTCGTCCAGAGAAATTGTGGCATTATAAAGGAGTTTGGCGATAAATTTGAGGAAGTTTATAAAGGAATTCTTAACAAAATAAGAAATAGGCAGACATTAAATATGTTGGCAGTAAACGAAGTGGCAAATTAAATATGAGGCATAATATCAATTTTACTCTGCATCTTAAAAAAGAAATCTGACTGTCTGCAGTCACAAGATTCCCTGGAAAACTTTAAAGCCCATCCATTTTCTGCTGACTTCCTTGAAATGTAACAAGCTAATTTTAAACCAATATAATTAAGTAGCTGAACAAATATACCTGGAATACCGATCCCCTCATTTTTGACAGAGTTATTGCCCTTTTTATGTTTTAAAGCAGAACAATCTTAGCAACAGCAGTATTATTTCTATTAAATCAGGTAAAATTCATTCATATAATCATGAACTTTGATTCACAGGGGTAATCACCAGCATGTGTAGAGTCTTAGATATATTCGTCAAGAATTATACTTTTCTGTGAGATTTTTAATTTAGAAGGATTACATGTCTCATATTCCAGCAGATGTGGAGCCCTTCCTATAAATCAAGAACAGATGATTTCAAGAAATTTTTCAAGGATGTTCCAAGTGATGACCGACTGATTGTTGGTGAGTATATATATATATATACAACCTTATCATATTTTAGAAGTTTTATCCTAAATCTCACTTTAAAGACTGGCGTTTCTATTCTTTATAACAATTTTTAGGATTGGAGGACAGTCACACATATAAAAACATCAGATCCGTTGTTATTTCACCTTCAAAATATACTGAGTACCGACATTACCTTATTTGCTTTAAAAAGCGCCCAGGGGGCTTACATATTTTCACTAAATCGAGGTGCTTATTAGGATAACAAAATTTGAGCTATGAGCAACTTCAACCATTCGAATATTACTGACGGACGCTGTAAACATTCCACAGTTTGGCTGCATGGTGGTTTAAAAATTGGAAATCAAAGGTTTCATCTGCTTCATGGGGAGTCTTGTAAGCCTATAGGTCACTGGACATCAAATCTCTACTTTAAAATGTTCGTACCATAAAACCTTGACCATGCCTGGTTAGGTCTGGGAGGGGTTTATATCACAATAAATTATATATTTATGTAATCGTAAACCTTCTACTCTAGTACTGCAGCCTTTACGTCGGGTGCGGACCAAGGATCAATGTTCAAACCTCACCCCATGCCCCGGGCAATTTCTTCAAATCTTTAGTTACTTTAAAATCAAGTATTAGAGGTTATTATTTGTCATTAGCTCACCGTGACCTGGCCTCTTGTTTTTATTTATCGAGAATTAAAATTGAATTGAAAATAATAGAATTGTGGCATTGATGTTGATATGAATAAAGTGTATCCTGACAGCTGTGCTATACCTAAGACCTATAAGCAGATAAGCCTGGTACAGGTAATTCCTATAGTCTGATACAAATCACTGGCACATGTTTAATTAATTTATAAGTCCCTCTGCCCTTCTCCCCTTCCCATACTTATTTCTATTGTCACAGATCTAGATCTGGCTTGCCCCATCGTAATGTTGAACATTATATTACTTCATTAGCACTCTTATCAAGCCAGGTACTGGTGCCTATAGTCAGATACAGATCAGCGACACCTGTTCAAGCCCCTCCTCCCTCCCATACCTGTCATACCTCTGACTTTCCCCCCTATCATACTGTTGTTGCTACTTATATAGCCTGGTACTGGTGTCTGTAGTCTGGTACTGATCATTTGCACCTGTTAAATCCTCACCCCAGGACACCCATCCACCCACACCCTCCTATTGTCACATCTAAGCCTGGTACTTAGCTAGCTAGATCCTATATATATGTATATTCAGGGGTACATATAAATCAATGACATCAATGATGCCTGCTCCAACTTCCCACTTCCCCATCCCCCACTCTCTACCTCCCACACTCCTCCTATCACACCTCTGATTTGACCTCAGACTCTCTCAGTTGACACTGTACATTAGCATTTAGCTGTATATATATATTCAGTTTTACATATACATCAATGATAACTGTCCAACCTCAACCACCCCGGCCTCAACCCCTCACTCCCCGGCCTGACCCCCTCAGACTATTGTCACTGCATCAGCACTGAGTATTAGCTTGGTACTGGAGCCTGAGACAGGTCACATTGACCCTTGTTAATTAAGCCTTCCAAGCCTCCTTTTGCTCCAACCTCCCCCATCCATTCCCCCACTTATCATATCTCTGACACCTCGCCCCTCAGACTATTGTCACTTTACATGGGCACAAATAAGCCTG